CCCCAAAACCCCAAAACCCCAAAACCCCAAAACCCCAAAACCCCTAAAATCATATAATAATTGATAATTATGGAAAAAGACTTTCAAATCATATTTGATCAATTTGGTAAGAAGACATAGGGATTATTATGAACATTTGAGGGGATTTCAGTATATTTTTGGGGAAATTTTGGTATGGAGAGTTTTATCTAAAATACATGTTTTGGTTTGGGCAGAGTTTGAGACTTTTTTATATTGATGTAGAAATGTTTGATGATGTGGCAAGTAGTCAGCAGTTTGGGTCTACAAAGATATCAACAAAAGTTTCTCCCTGGGATGAAGGAGGTAAGGGATTTTTGGAGAGTTTTAGGGGACTTTTTGCACCTACAGTCTTCTGCTAAGAGACCTGAGAAGAGAAAAAAATAAAAGTATTAAGGACAAGCAATTTACTGTATTTTCATAAGCTAAATGTAGATATGAAAAGAGTTTATATTTAAGACAAGTCAATTACCAGAAAAAAGGGCAGCTCGCTCAAAGTATCCTGTTGGAAAGACATCTTTGAACAAGTCTCTTGCTTTTGGTAAGTCACTTTTATCTCTTTAAGGTATCCTTACATCATATAATTATTGGGGTTCTAATAATATAGGAAGGAAAATCCAGGATTAGAGTCTACCAAGACTAAATTTAGCAAAATGAAAGATACCAAGAACAAAGTAATTTCAAAGAAATTTTGAATAATTAACGATACTTTAGGAATCCAAGTCACGATCTAAAAGCAAGAAGTATGCAAGAATGGTAATTTTTAGGAAGAAATGTAATAAATCTGGAGACTCACAGAAAGATTTGATGATTAATGTTACCTCAAGAAGTGCAACAAAAGAGAAGAAAGTTAAGAAAAAGGCGAAGACCAGGCCTATTACACCTAAATTTTTGAAGAAAGAGCCTGAAAAAGTTAACACTCAGAGGTATTTAGAGAACAAGGATAGTGCTGAAGAGTCACTGAAGGATGATATTACAATTAGTGTCAAATTCAAGAAGTTTTTGCAAGAGAAAGGTATAATAAGGAAGAAGAAAGCAAAGCCTGAAGCAATGATTAACAAATACAAGGAGCCTATTATCAGAAGACTTAGTTCTAACAAAAATATGCTGAATGAGCATAGCCTCAAGAAATATAAGTTTATGAGTGCTAAGAATATTGAAAAATCTAAGAGAAAAATAGCAGTACCTGATAAAAGCTCTAATGGTTCAAACTTTTTAGTCAATGGAAGCAGCTTTCTACACACTCCCAAAAGAAAAGATGGAAGGAACTATAATAACTTATCTTCAAGATCAGGCAATATCCTTAACCATAAAAATTCAGTGGATTATGAGAAGTTATATAAAATGTCTAATTTCTGCAAGAAAGCATCAATTATTTCCCAACAAAAATATATATTACAAGCTCATGAGTTAGATAAGAAGTCCTCATCAGTCTTTCCTTCACTTATAAAAGCAAGGAATGATTCACAGGATTCTTACGAAAATGAAGAAAGGACACAGGGTATATATTACGAAAACGGTATGAAAAAGGGATTTATTCATCAAGACCAAAAAGACTATAATTTTGTACTAAAGAACAAATCACTAGTGAGTCCATCAAGTCATATTTAGTCACCAAAGGATTTGAGACAGGAAGAGAGGAAGCAACCAAACACAAATGTCAGAGATAACAATTTCAAGTTATCTAGAATGTTTATTTTTAGGTACGACAAAGAAATGATTGAGTTAATGAATAAGGAATGTCTAAATTCAATGAACAAGAAATATTGCCCACAAATTAAAAACAACAAATTAGAGTACAAGATGGGTGTTGATATTCTGAAGAAAGGTAAATTGGCTTTATAAGTGAGTAATAGAGAAGATTTTAAGGAAAAAGAAAGATATCAGCCGAAATAATGGGTGAGAAGATCAGAGAAGATTAGCAGCAAGCCCGGGTAATAAATTTTTATTATTAAATAGAGTTACCTCCTATTGAGTTTTCATATAATTCACCAGGAAAGCATTGCATGAGTACAGAAGCTCTCCCAAAAATTTCTTCAAAGAGGCATTTAGATTACCCGAAGAATAGCTTTCTCAAGAAATTAACAAAATTGTAAGGATAAAATTTTATCATAATATGTATAGGAATATAAATAATAATACACCTCGAATAACAAAGTTATTCACTGGTGACTCTCCATAATTCAAAATTCACCCCAAAGTAGATTCTCAGAACACTAAAATACCTTAATTATCATCCAAAGAGCATTAAAACTCATAAAAATTATCTGAACCATCTATTTGTCACTTAAAATATATTTTAGCAATTTTTATTCCCAATAATGGGGTTTTGGGGTTTTGGGGTTTTGGGG